GGATTCAACTGCCACTTCATAACTCCATGGTGAAAAAAGAGAGAAGGAAAAAATAATGCTGACAACCCAAGCAGCGCATCAGGAGCTACAAGCTACCGCTTGAGGGTATCACCGAGGATGGCGTGGCGTGGATGGCCAAGATGTGGAGCGAGCCGGCGGTCAAAGCCGAGATCAAGTGGTACTTTGAGCAGGCCAAGGACCCGCGGACGGTCGTGGCTAAGGATGACGACATCTTCCGTGGCAACCCGGAGATCCGATATGAACAGTTTGATCAGAGCTGGGAGTTCGACCCGTCGGGCTATGTCACGGCTTCTGTTCCTGCTGCTCCCGACGCTGCCACAGCTTGACGGTAACAGAAAAGGGGAAATTAATCAGTTGGATTTCTGCTATCAGGACAAATTGCACTTAATCGATGCATGTAGTATCTCCAATGTTCTCACAACTGCGATTTTGACTATTGTTATATATATATGCCCGCATCCACGCACGCATGTAGACATGTGATCCTGTCCCCTGAGGTTCGAACCCCCTTTACAGCCATAATGTGTATGCCATTTGTATATCAAGACTTAGTATGTATAATAAACCTCATCTATACGAATCCCACTCTGCGCGCAACTTGTCTGCCAGGCTATCCACCCTCCGCCACCCGGACGCCCTGACACCATCCAGACACCCGAGCAGCTCCGCTTGCTGATCCGCGGACCTCACGCGCCGAGCGGCGGCCCAGAACGCGGCGATCATGCACGGGTCCCAGCAGGAGCTGCTGCCGCCAGCCCCTGGGTCGCTGCTGAGCGCGATCCCGCACACGCGGCGGGCGTGCCAGAGCGGCGAGGTGTGGTCCCCCGCATCGTCGCCGAAAGCGCTACCGTACTGCTCGTGCTCGCCGCGGAGCTGGAGCAGCATCATCATCGCGACGTGGTACATGGAGTTGGCCCACATGCCCGCGCTGCTGCCAAACAGGAGTGTAGGGAACGCGGAGCCGCCGGCGCTGCCTCCTTCGGTTTCCAAGACGGGTCGCAGCTCCGGCGGCCGGCTCAGGTGCCACGAAAAGAGATCGGTCAAAAGCTTCTTCCATTTTTCGCAGAGTAACGTGGTGTTTGAGCGCGAACATTCCCTTCTGAGCGGTTGCAGCTCGGGTGATATTGTCTCTTGGTCCGATATTGGTGGTGGTGGTGTTGAAGGGAAAACGAAGCTCATGACGTCGAAAAGGATAGCAAGACACTCCAGAGAAGCCTCTAGGGTATCTTGAGATTGCTTTCGCTGCACTGTGTCCTCCTTGCATAATCTCGTGCTGGCCCGTAGCAGGTCAGCACTGATCCCAGGTGCAGTTTCATTTATAAGAGCGTAGGAGATTTCTGTTCATCCACACCATCCTCATCGTCAGTATTGGGAACTCTTTGTAAGAGTAAAATGGTATAATTGTAATCGTATGATGCATCGAGAAGCTGGGACTAGAACGTGAAAGAGAAAAGAAACTCAAAAAAAGATCGGCGAACCTAATCTCGACATCAGAGCTGTGCATGCTGACCACGCTCTCTGCCCTATAGGGTCCTCAAAGCTGTACTCCCCGAGACCGTGAGGATTTCCACCACCAACATAGCTCGGCTGCCACTCAGACGGCGTCTTGGTTATGAACCTCGTGGCCCGCGCGGACAGGAAGGACACTAGAATGCGAAGCGCGGCCCAATTAGACTGCAGCCCCCCAGTGTGTGACATGACTAAGAAGTATAGCGGCGCGGCGTTGCGCCTCTCGGTGAGTTTGACAGAGTCAGAAGCAGGGGTAGACGTATTAGTAGTAGTAGTAGTAGTAGTAGTAGTAGTGTTAAGGCCTTGGGAAGCGGCCGCGAGGCGCAGGATGCCGTCCATCACGCATGGTGAGGACGCGGCGAGCTGTGGAAGGACGAGGCCGAAGGTTCGTTGAGGATCGTAAATGTCCAGCTGCGGTGTAATGATAGCCGCGGGGCCTTCTGGTTAGCTATGATAGGGGGCAAAGTGAGGCATGTCTGGCGGTTTACTGGAGTGACAGATTCAAGTGGCAAACTCACCCAGGGAGAAACGTGATGACACCAGTGTCTGAGCAGACCAACCTCGTGGTCAGAAAGCGAGCTCTGCCCCACCAAAGGCCATACCTTCTCTGATGGCCAAGGCCCAAGGTTTATAGGTAGATGGGACAGTACAGCTTCGCTGTTGGTGACATGAAGACTCTCGGCAGGATCTGCTATCGGGCGCAACTCTGGGTGCAGGTCTTCGCTTGCAACGTCTTGGTTTTCTAGATTTTGGGGTGTTTTCAAGACGCCATGTAACGAATTGGGGTCGGAGTCGTTCTCATTCGTGACAGGATTGGTTAAAGAAGCATCCTGCAGCTGTAAGGGCTGCGCTGCCTTCTTCTCATTTGGGACGCGATCCTCGAGGATGAACTACACCGAAGCATCGATTCCAGTCAGCCTCCTCCGCCGTTCCTTGATTTTGCGGACCACTCACTTCTATTGGTTTGTTCACTTGACCTTCTACGACAGCCGAATGGCCGACTAAGTCAGCGCCTGATAGGGTTTGAAAGTTCTTGTCGAGGAACGATATCTGTATGGCATACTGGCACTGAGCGCCGGCCTTGGTACAACGTTGACATTGCGGTTTTCCCTCATCACCTTCAGTGGTTGTCAGATAGGTTAGATCGTTTGTTCTATTAAACCTGAAGATAAATTGGGTTTATGCATGGGAATCGCTTGACTTACACTTGCGACGCTGCGCTCGACAGCGATCGCAGCCGGTACGGGCACGTTTGTGCGGAGCCCGCTGGCCCCGTTGAGGATTCAGCGGAGGGCCAGACGCCGCGGACGACATGGGGAATCAACAGGTCTAGTTAGATATGCTAGCGCTTGATCGCTCTAGATGTAGAAGATAAATTACGAAGCTGGCGGTTCGCAGGTTGCGAGTTGATAATGGGGTGGACTGGCGGTTCCCAACCAGGCACGTGGATCCGCATCTGGCTGCAGCAAAAACTGCGGCTTTGTCAGAGTCGATGCGGTTGGCACTGCCGTTTTGGGCCGAGCTAGCGGATGGCTAGACATACAGTGGATCCCCCCCCTTTGCCCTCCCCTTTGGCGACCATTTATCCGCACCTCCTGATGCGCTAACTTTGCCCGTCCTCGATGTCGATCCTCAGTTTGCTGTATTATTAATAAGTCAGTCACTGTAGTCGTGGTGGCATCCGGATCTAGACAGTGAAGACAATAGTGTTGAAATTAGAAGTCGTATCCGCTCCATTCCGTTGCAGGAACTCCAGAATGAAGCAATTAGATAAATACAATAACACACCTGAGCCCATGAATTAGAGTGTCGTCCATCCCAGTTGGCTGCACTTTCAATTCATCGACTGCTTCTAACTTGGTCTGGCCAAGATTCCGATCGAGACCTTCGCCATGGCCACTTTGCCTAAAACCATGAAAGCCTGGGTCATTCCCAAGCCTGGGCTGTTCAAAGAAGTCTTGGAGCTGAAGCGCGACCGTCCGCTTCCTGCGCCGCCAAAGATCGGCGAGGTTATGATCAAAGTATCGTACGCATCCATCAACCCGGCTGACATCGTTCTCATGTCTATGCGCATCCCCTGCCGAGGCGCCGCCGTCCCAGGATGTGATCTCGTTGGCGAGGTCGTTCAAGTCGGTGGGGGTCCAGAGACAGGAAGTAGTAGCAGCAGTAGCAGGCACGCGATCGGCGCTATCGTCGCTGGCACGGTGCCAGTGATGTCCATACTTCGCGGAGTCGGCGTGCTCGCCGAGTATGTCGTGGTCCCCGCCCACGCGTTCGTGCAGACGCCGAGCGCGATGAGCGAGACCGTGGCGGCCGGGCTCATGGGCATTGCCGGCCAGACGACGGTGGCCCTACTGCATGCTGCGGGCCCACGGGCCGGTGACAGAGTCCTGGTTAACGGCGCCAGCGGCGGAGTGGGCAGCATTCTGGTGCCGGTTCTCTGCACCATGGGCGTCCGCGTCACAGCCGTGTGCTCCAGCAAGAACATCGACCTTGTACGGAAGCTGGGCGCCGAGGAGGTGGGTTACTTCCTTTCTCTCCACTTCTCTCTCTTTCGCCTTTCTCATGAATTACCGGTAGTCCCTTTTACGATGCTGACCTAGTGCAGGTTGTGGACTACACAGCTCCAGGATCGCTCTACGATTCCCTTTCTTCGCTGTCCACTCAGTCCGGAAGCGCCCCGTTCGATGCTCTCATCGATTGCGTAGGTCAAATAGAGCTGTACCAACAGTCCCCCCGTTATCTGAAGCCAGCAGGCAAATACTTCACGATTGCCGGCAGTTACTTGACACGGCTCAAGTACTATCTTTTACCGGTTTTTCTTGGAGGCGTACCAAGAACCTACGCCAACCTCATGAACCAGATCGGCGGTGCTGCAGCTGGAGAGGCGGCGAGCTGGTTTGATAAAGGTTGGATCAAAGACATCACCATCGATTCCATTTTCGATATGGACAATGCTTTAGAGGTAAGGTGTTATAATCATAGGCTACATGAGTCAAAGAGACTGACATCACCTAATTTGCAGGCTTACGAAAAATTGGCAACCAAACGGGCGGTCGGCAAGATCTTGGTCAAGGTCCAATAAATATGTCTCATCCTGAGTTAATGGAAGAAGCAGCCGACGCAGGACTAAAGAAGCATTACTCAGAACCTCAGAGGTTCGGATTGTGGCGGCCCATTGGTCGCGTGAGAAGGCTGAGACATTTGATTTAGTCAGGACACCAAAGACAATAATAAGTAAGAAGAAGTCTTCACTGATATGTGTCGAAAAAACGCATTGTATAATTATATAAGATTACAAGATGCAGCAATATAGCTTGCCACCAGGTCACCGCACGATGTTAAGAGATATCAGAAATATACGACGGGAATGTGTGCAGATTGAACCCACAAAAAGAATGGCGGGAGAAAAAAAAATAGAATTCAGAAATAACTTGAAAGTCGAGAAAAAGTCCAAAAAAGAGAAAAGTCGACGTAGGCCTGATTCGAACAGACGCTCCCGAAGGAACAAGATTGCGAACCTGGATGTAACATCCATAGTTGATTCGAGTCTTGCGCATTAGACCACTCTGCCACTACGCCTTTCCTTGCTTGATGATGTCGAGGGGCCACTATCTCACTATGAGAGACCGCCTTCAGAGTGGATACGCAAAAGTAGGGCAGAGACCGCACAAAAATTCTCTGCTCGGCCCCCAACCGATTTCCTTGGCAAAAACTATGGCAAATGAGTAAAATTCGTGACCTTAAAGAAAAAAAGGCCTGTAATCGAAGAAATAATCAATTCCAAGAGAGGACTTGGCGGGCTTGTATATCTCGACTCGATATTGGCAGACCATTCCATTGTTTGCAGATCTTCCGCAATACCCGCCCACTTCGCGCCCGCTCGTTCTCCCGTGGCAGCAGCGCAGCTTGCACTACCACTTGCTGCTCTCCTCGGATATCGGCCCACATATACCGGGTCAACTGGTATGGTTTTCTTACGTCATGAGAAATCATACCAGATCACTGGTACTTTCTAATTCCTATTTTCGAAATGGAGAAGGAATTACCACTATCAAGGATAGCAGCTCTGGCGGATTGCCTATAGCGCAACAGTGAGTCCAGGTATAGTATAGTGCATCTGCTGCTGACCAAAGCACTTGCTAGAGAATCTGCATTCTGTGATTTCTATCCAGTCCTCGGTGAGACTGAGTACGGTACTAGAAGGTGAAGGTATAATGACGTGAAATATTGGTAACGGCCATGAACACAAGCTGAAACGATAATGAAGCAAGCACAGCGTCCACACGGGGAACTAGTCTATAGCCGAAGAAGCGCATTCAACCTTCTAATTTGTATGAATGATTGATTGGCCATCCTTACATAGATGTTGTCAGATTGGTAGTCCCGTATTATCGAGCCACATTCTGCGATCAATTTTGGCAACCCAGTTGATGATGATATTGTCTAAAATGTTTGTGCATTAAACTATATGAAATCTATTACAATGATCGCTTTCTAAATCAAACAAACTCCATCCTCCCGAAAACCCTTGTGGCGGCGATAATACACAGCCGACCCTTAGAGCTTCTCAAATACTTCGACGACAGCCACTGCAGTAGAAGCAGCGCTAGCAGGATTCTGCCCTGTGACAAGGCGGCCGTCGACAACATGGTAGTCGTCCCAGATCCCAGCGGATCGCTCATCTGCGAGGGGAAAAAATATTAGTATTGGAAATAGGTCAGGGTAAACAAAGGATGGTAAGGGATAAAAGACTCACATTTGGCTCCAAGCCGCTCAGCGAGCTCCTCTACCATCTCGGAGTTCCAGCTGCGGAGCTCGTCCATGATCTTCATGGTGTTCTCGGCCTCGGTTGTGAAACCCGTGATGCGCTTGCCCTTGATGATGGGCTCGTTGGTGGCCAGGTCTACGATGTTGGCGAAGATGGCCGGGCCGTGACAAACGGAGGCGACGACGCCGCCGCGCGCCCAGACCTGCTCGGCGACCTTCTGCAGGGACCTGGCGGTAGGGTAGTCGATGAGGGCGGCGTGGCCGGCGGAGGCGTAGAAGACGCCGTAGGCAGAAGGATCGAGCTCTGAGGCCTTTGGCATGCTGTCGAGCTTCCTGCGGAACTCGCTGTCGAGGTCGTTCCAGATGGCCAGGTCTTCACCGTTCAGGAAGTCGGGCTGCTGCGAGAGCCAATCGGGAGTGTACTTGCCGGTCTCCGAGGCTAGGTCAACCTCGAAGCCTGCGGCACGGAGCACCTTGTACGGGTGCAGGGCCTCGCTGATGAAGAGCCCGGTTGTCTCTTTGCCCTGGAAAAGGGTAGCCTCGGCTGAGGTGATGGCGATGAGGGCGCGGCGGGGGAGAGTTGAAGGAGCCATTGCGATTGATAAGTGAGTTTGAGTGAGTAAGTGGGTTTTAGTGAGTAAGTAGGAAGGTGTGGTTAAAAGTTCTGAAGTGTGGAATGGTGAAGTTAGTAGTCTGATGGTATTGAGTGTATGATACTATTGTTGCTTTTGTTGTTGCTGTTGATGGTGATAATAAATGTTTGATTCCCTCGGGCGTAGAGAACATATTTATACATCTTCGAGCGTGGCATTTCATTACAGAATACTCAGGACCACGATCGGAGTGACGGACGACTAATGTCTAGGTGGATCTCCATACTCCTCGCATTGGCCCGCCCTGCTTGGAAACTGGCCAATCTAGTGAACTCCGTCACTCCGTCACTCCGGTCAGCCAGGGTCTGGGGGTCGTGGACCCCACTCTGGATGCTCTGGGGTAGCTCCTATTGGCTAACTTACAAGCCACGGTCCCGGAGTTGCTCCAGCGAAAGACTGTGATAAGTGTGTAGAATCAATAGATATACCATAGCAGGAGTTGTAATTTTCTATGGAATTCGAAGAGTTTGTCTTTCATTGACTGAGTCATGGATTGTGATAGCAGGTAGATGCGCGAAATCGGTGATTGCTTGTGTAAGGCACTGATTTCAGCCACTTGAATTATCAAATACCCTCCTGCCCAAAATTTCTCTCCATACAGCTAATGTTACCGCGTGGCTAGATACCTACAAACGGTGCTGCTCACTTCAATTACCCTATTAATTTCTAATTCCGATCCTCCTTAAATGTAACAGTGCCCTCAATTTTGACTTTCACCTTTCACCTTTATTAAATAGTTGTCCTTTTTTCCCATTTTTTCTTTCTTTCTTTTAAAAGTCCTTCAAAACTCGTACCGAGCTTCATTATATGCTGACAGTCGCTGTGGTAGTCACCACCTCCGTAGCCGTCGTGGTCACCGTCTCCGTCTCCTTAACCGTGACAGTGACGGGACCAACACCGATGCTTCCGGTAGTGACCTGAGCATCGCCGCCGCTATCAAGCGAGGAGACGGCCACGGCTCCGGCGTGGCCGTGCGAAGCTGCCGCGCTACTGCTTCCTGCCGCCGCCGCCGCCGCCGTCGTCGTTGTCGGCTCACTTCCCGGTGGAGTGATGGGGATCACGGTTAGTATGCCGCCATTGTCGGAGGTGGAGGCTGAGCTGGCGAGGGCTGAGGTCGAGCTGGCTCCATTATTGCTATCTGATGACGATGAAGATGCGGTCTGGCCGTGGCGGGTGCGCGTTCTGGTGGACACTGTTGTTGTTGTCTGCGTGTGTGCTTGCGCCTGAGATTCTGTAACTGTTATCCTCACGGTCTCTGTGGTACTAGGCGTGTTGGTGTCGGCGTTGGCGGTGGAGGCGCCCTGGGTCACCGTGGTATCCATCGTCGTGGTGTGAACACTGGGCGTCACGGTGACGGTCACTTCAACGACGTCCGAGGTTGCGGCGCTTGAGGAAGCATTTCCAGCACTGGAAGCTGCCGCAGCACTCGTTGCCGTGTTAGTAGCAACCGTAGTAGTGGCAGTCGTGGAAGTATCCGCCGTGGTCCCGAGGATCTCAGCCGCCACACTGGGGTCGAAACAGCCCACTTCTACACCTTCCGTGGAGTTCATCGGTAGCGCAAAGCACTGATTGCCACCGTGGCAAGCATGGATCGTGAAGTTCCCGGCTGAGTTGCAGACCCCTAGATCAACGCTGATGCAGGAAACTTGGCCATCTGTGCAGGCAGAGTCCGCCGTCGTGCTCGCAAATATTTCGTTGAAACTGATGGCCTGGGCCAAATTGCTCGCGTAGACATCGGCTGCCACCGTGGTGGTGGCTGCGGGGACCGAAGTGATGCCCGAAGGCAGAGCGGTGTCCATCGCTGCTTTACTTGTGGATGCAGCAGATGAGGCGGCACTCGAAGACGCCGAGGAGGAACCTGGGGAATTGGCGGAGCCGCCCGAAAGATTGGTAGTGGCTGTAGAAGCTGTGGCGCCTGACGGCACCGTTGTTGGGGAGGTTGTAGTAACAGCAACACTGGACTGTGATGATAGTGTGGCATTCAAGGAGGATTGAACAGCACTAGATACTCTAGCGCTTGAGGTAGCCGAAGTTGACAACCCTGAGGTAACCGCAAATGACGAGCTGGAGCTCGGGTCGATGAGTGTAAATTTTCGAGATACAGATATACGTGAGGACGATGAAGATGAGGATGATGCTGTTACTGTTGACTGCCCTGCCACAGCAGACGTTGCACCGACATTGGTGGAGAGGCTTGTAAGAGTCGACCCATTTGATGCTGGGGAGGATGAATGTCCAAAAAATAGCGAGAAGCTTGAGGAATCTGTTGCTTGTTGAGTAATAGTTGCCGATGTTGCGGCTATGGAAGCAGAACCAGCACCTGAGGAGAGTGGCGTTGGCACGATCGTCGTCTTTATGATTAATGTGCTGCTATCTGAAGACTTGACCGAGCTAGCATCCAATGCCGATGCACTTGTGTTTGCAAATAAAATAGGTGCATCACGACCAGAGATGTTGTTTCTTTGTCTGGTTGGTCGAGTTAGCCATAGGTTCCACATCTGTAAGCTGTGAGACATACCTTGGTCCATGCTTCAGCGGACCTGCCGCTGCGTTACTCGAGAGCAATAGTATGCCGAGGAGAGACACTATCTTCTGCATGATGATCTTTCCCATGATGGGGGAACGTGGAGAACACGAGGCAAATAGAAGGAGAACAATAGGAGACGAAATAGTCTAGATATGGGAGAAACAATGGGGCAACGATGATCTGTTCAGGTGCGGAGAGAGATTGACACGTCCAGCGTTTTTGTAAAACACACTTCTAGGAGCTCAAGGGAACGAGAGACGCCGAGTCAAACGGAGAAGTCGATTCTCAGTAGGACTGGAAATGTATGAGTCGAAGATGAGGCCGCCAGCTGGGCAAGCCAAGGAATTGGGCCACAAAGGAAAAAAAGAGTAGAAGAAGGGGAGCAAGGTTCGCTACAACCACCGACACTAGCACATTGAGTGAAAAGAGAGAAAAACACAAACTAGGTTGCAGATCATCAGGCACTCGAGAGAGCGCTGAGGTGACCATCTTGTATGAAACCGGCCGGCCTCGGCCCACGATCAGCAACGGTGATGCAATCACTCGATCTTTGCATGATAGGCCCCATGGGCTTCCCGCTCTCGGGCATGACATGGTCGCTAGCCATAAGACCCAGCTCCTCTCCAATGCCT